TTCTCTTGTTTGCTTGCGCTCCTCAAACCACGATCTCTGGCCGCTCCGTCGAAGACCTCATGCACACCTGCAAGAGTCACAGGCTACAATCTCTGCAAGAAACAAAAAGAGTGCAAGATTCTGCTAGAAAACCAACGCAGCTCAAGCAGCTTGGCACCGAAAGGTTTTAATCTCAAGCAGCTCCACATTCGGCAAAGAATGCACCATACTACTACGCTCAAAATCGAGAGTAGTCGTGGTTTCTGCAAGCCCCCTCAGCCCAAGCTTGACTCCAACAATACTCTTCGCATGATGAAGCTTGAGAGAGCTAGATCACAACACGATGCTGCTAAAACCCATGCTATGAGAATCAGCATGAAATGTCACCACCAATTTTAAATGTTTGGGAATCCACCCTCCAGCCATCCTGAGCACAAAACAAACACCTTCAAACTCCAACACTTCTTCGATTTGGAGACTGTGTGGAGGTCTACAGATTCGGATAGACCTGTGCACTCTGAAGTGGTGGCAGGTTGAAACGGGAAAGGTTCAAACGAGTCGCACCGAGTGGCACAGAAGGCACGTTCGTGTCTTCCTTGAAAGCACAATGCCAGACAGGTCCAGGCCACCCTCACGTACCTCCTGACTACATCACTTTTTTCGCTGTGCTTCGAAAGCTTCATGGATTTCTCCGTGTCAAAAGCTGTTCTTTTCCGCACCCTGTCTACCCGCTGAGCTTCGGTTGGCTGGAGCCCTGAAGCCATCGAACAGGTGCGATGATTTCTCACCCAAACCGCAGCTCGCCGTTCAAAGGGATGATGCAAGTTTCGGAGCAAAGATAGATTTTTTGGTCAAGTAGCTGCACCGGGCAACGGTGAAGGGCGCTTGCTTGCTCGTTTTCGTGAGGTCAAAGAATTGAGAGGATGAATCTGAATTGATGCAACTTGAGAGGAGGGAGACACGAAAGGTAGGACAGCGGGAAGAGAAAAGAACGCGAGAGGCAGGAACAAAAATGCAATGTTCGACATGGTGATTTATCCCCTCTCGGAGGCGACCTTTCGTAAATATAAGTTTCCTACTCCACTAGCTGTCCACCGCGCAAACCCACTTTTTGCGCGCCAAGGCTCAAACTGGTTCGAGCCACCCAGAGCTCGGGGGAGGGTGGGTGGGTACCTTGCCCTTGAACCTAAACGTGAAACAGCTAGAGGTAAAAGAAAACCCGGCACGCGCAAGCTGAATGCCTAAAGTTTCCTACTCCACTAGCTGTCCACCACGCAAACCCACTTTTTGCGCGCCAAGGCTCAAACTGGTCCGAGCCACCCTTGCTCCTTTAGAGCTCCTCCCCCCCCCCGCTCGGGTCCGGGCGCGAAACACGCCTCGGACCCCAGAGCAAGCGGAGTGGCCAACATGCACTTAATTTGGGGTGAGATCGGCCGTGATCATCTTTTGAGCGACGCCGCGTGCCGTTTCACGTGCCTCCCATACGTAAGTCTGGAACGAATCGCTCGCCCAGCGTTCCCACCTTTTAACCAAGGCGGTGTCCTGATATTGCGCCCACAAGGCACTTGCCCCTCCGAATCGCAAAGAATGCGTGCCAAGGTCGCCACTGAGCAGATCCAGCCCCTTTGCTGCTCGTTCGATAAGGGCTTGAGTGGCAGTACGCGGTATCGGCCTTTCATCGGCTGAGCGGAACAAAAGTTCTTCTGCTTCTGCTCCCCCTTGATACCTCTGGGGAAAGTGGTGGAACAGAGTCACCATGGCGGTCACAACGCACACAGGTTCAGACGTTCTAAAGTGGTTGCGGACCTGTCCACGGTTATATATGTCCGTCTTAGACCCTCGGACGAGGATGGTCACCTCATCGGCTTCGCTGAGCCTGTCAAGCCCCAACGCTCTCCCATTCAGTTTCAGAGTGATGTCACTTCCTCGAAGGCCCCGATTTGGGTCTTGGTACTCTGAGGCCTTCAGCAGGAAGAAGAACCCCAAAGTCAGGGCGCCCCATAAAAGGCTGGCTTCCTGAGAGCGCCCGAATTGTAAATGGTTCACAAGCCATTTGAGCATGTCAGGCATAACAGGCATGCGCCTTTCTTTCGTGCCATATCGCCTTCTGAGACCGGCTAGGGCCAAGGGGACTCTTGGCATGTGAGCCAAGGGATCCGGGTAACCCAACGTCAAGCGCATTGAGCGGATGGCTGCAAGTCTCAACTTGATCGTTCCTGGGGCCTTTGCTTCATTCGTAGAACAATGAACCAGGTAATCAAGGATTAACTGCTCTTCCGCACGGTTGTAGGACGGCACATAGCGCACGGGGTCTTCGTTCCGGCGTCGGCAAAAAAGAGACCACCATCCCCACTGCGATTGGTAGCTGGCTGTCGTACTCTGAGAGTATCTGGAGAGGAGGAGGGCGAACCCCTCCTGATCGAACTCGTGTCTCCCTAGGATGGTAGCCAGTCGAAGGGCCTTTCCAGGTGGATGTCTTCTACTTGCTGCTTTGGGTCCCCCAAGGAATGGGGTTTCCAGTGCCGGTTGTTGCTCTTCCCTTTCGAGGCACATTGAACCTCACTTTCTTCCTAGAGCCACCCACCCTCCTCGGCAGGGAGGCGTTTCCTCCCTTCTTGGAGGTCCCCTCCCATTGCCTCACGATCAGGCTTTTGAGGAAGATAAGGGCGAAGACAACCATCTGTATGAAGCCCAAGAGGCAGACAGCGGCCCCAAGATCAAAAAGGACCCCGCTGGCCATATCCAATAGGTAACCCTCTTTCCCATCCATCACATCTTCGTCGAGGGCCATCCCGTTAGCGGACTCAACAGCCAAGGTCAAAACTGCGCCTCTAAGTCCGGGCAAGAAACTCGCCACTGGTTGTGGTCCCTCTCGGCATCGTCCTTGGCGTTACTCTTCTTTTCTTTGCGGCGATCCGACTTGATCTTCTTTCGCCTTTCTGAATCAGGCTTTCTCTTCTTGATCGTCGCCTCGACCTGGGCCTCTTCTCGCAGTATCTGCCTGAATTCTTTCAAGTTTGCTTTGGCGCTCTCCGAGAAAGCTTTATTGAGCACACCTCCCCCCCTCGGCGGGGGGCACCTCTGTGAGCCTGTTGGGCTGACTTGGATCGAGCGTCGGTTTTTCTGCGGTTTCCTTTCGGTGCTGGGCTGCCCGGGCTCGGGAACGGTGTTCCCTCCTGGCTTGCCGAATGGATTTTCCAGCTGCGATGTCTTCCCTCAGCCGGGCATCTGAAATCAAGGGCACAGACGCTCTCGGCCCCACCGGGTTCATCCGTTCGAGACGGAGCATGGCATCATTCAATCCGCTCTGGTATTGAGTTTCCGCCTCAGTGTAATGCTTCACCCGTTCAGCATGCTCTGGCGCTCGCTTCTCAGCAGCTACAAGGCTTTGTACCCTAAGGTCAGCCAATTGCTCAAGGCGTCCAAAAAACTCAGATTTTTCTCTTGCTGAAGCGGGTGTAGCGCCAATCACCTTCTGCAGGCTCTCCCAGTTGCTGGCATCAGCATCGGCAACGGCTCTTAATATGCGCAGATGGGCGTTGCCAAATTTTATCTTTCGACGGCGAAACGGGGCCCCACCTTCCTCGATGATTTCCTCGGATTTCGGGGTCAGCATTTCTACCCCTTCGTGGGACTCCGAAGCTCCCGAATCTTCCATGACAGTGTCCTTCTCAGCCTCTCCGGAAACGGTGACACCTTCTCCACTTCCTTCGGCGTCCATCGGCTCCGCTTCAGCATCCTCGACCTTGGTCTCGACTTTAGGGTCGGGAATTGAGCAGGGATGGCTTAGACGACTTCCACGTCCAAATCATCAGCGGACCAGTCGCATTCGTCTTCATCGTCGGGCATACCGGGCGCGATACACGCCTCGGTACCAACGGCACTGACGGCACCTGTCACGGTGTCAACCTCAACTCCCCCGCCTACATCGTACGGGAGGTTTTTGGTCGCAAGCAGCCTGCGCCACCTCCTCGGTCACGGGTTTGGGATCCACCTTGGGCTGCCAACTTCCAGACCGATACGCCGGAATGTCCAGCGCTGCCGGATTGAAAGTCGAGGGGGGTGCACCTTCTTCCGTGGCCTCCTTTCCTCCCTGGCTGCTGGCCAGACGTCATTGCCAGTTCGACGGAAAACGCAGCCAAGGTTGCTGGCATGGCGAACATCGATCTCCACGCACGTTTCGAGGTCTGCCCTCCACTTGCCGGATGAGGAGCCAGGATTATGGAAATGCAGATCTCTACTTTGGCGGAGCAGGCCTCGCCGTTGAATCGAGGCTGTGTGTTTCCGAAATGTTCCATGGATCAACGTCTCTGGCAACTCTGGTGGTGGAACGATGGCCGCGGGGCCCACCACACGATCTTGGGTGTGACCTGACCAAGCAGCGATCCACCATTCTCCTTCAGCATCCGGGGTTGCCACGACTCTGTCCTTGGCGTCCTTCTCGATCGCATCCCAAAGAGCCCAACTTTCGTATCTTCGACACGCCTCATGGGCCCGGAGATCACTCCACTTGACCCACCCCTCCTCACTTATAGGACACTCGTGCCAGCGGCATGTCGAAGCACGAAGCTCATGGCTTTCATAGCCCGCTCATGGGGAGGTAGGTTTCTGTTTGGGTTTTTCTTACCCTTGCCTTTTCCTCCTCCAACGATCGAGGCGCCCGCGTTGGCTGGGTTCTCACCCAGCCATTGCTCGAGGACGCGTCTGGATTCTTCCTCCCATTGTAGCCGACAGACTCCCACTATGCTCGACTTGAGCTGCTACCCATCGCACCGACAGTTCGCACAAGGCGCGGGGTGATTGGAGGAGGGCACGACGCACCGCCTCGGACGTGGCTTCCTTTCACCCCCTGAGAGCTTGACCGCTTCTTCTGGAAGTATCGCTCGAGCCGCTGGTCCGTCTGGGCCTTTCCCTAGAAGCAGCAACCGATCCTTTCGGGTCGCATGACCCTTCACGCAGCCCCTCCCCCTTCTGGGGTCCCAGACAAGCGCTCTCCCTTCTGTCGGTCGTTGAAGGGTACGTGCAGGTTTCGGCTTGGTTGCGCCAAGGTAGGGCATGGAGGAATCTATCTTCAAGAGCCCTTTCTCC